GAGGGCTTTTGGGTTCTTTCTAACATATGTCACCATAAGTGCTTAGGTTAAGTTAATTTTTTTTTATTATATATTTTATAAGAAATCAGACATTATACACTGGTGTCATAAATAAGTATATTATAGTTTTATTAATTTTAAAAGACATGATAACACACAGTATTATCCAAAAATAACAACAAAATGAACAGAATCATTCTTTGTCAAATACTGTACAGATGCCGGAATATCAGTGCATTTTACGCTATTTACCTTCATTTAGTCTGTATTAAAAAAAAAAAGTAACTTAAATAGTTAAATCATATACCGTATATATATCAGTTTCAAAACTGTAAACAGCATGTGTATCACTGGATTATGAAGAGACAAAACACAGTACAGTCTCTGTGTTATCAGCAGCACCTAATCATCTCCTGTCATAACATACTACAGCAGGGAGGCCATTTTTGTATTCTGCAGGCCAGAGGCCGCAAGCTCTCTGACAAGACAGAGGTTGCGGCCTTATAGCGGCTACAGAGCATGCCCGTCCCTGGAAGACTGAGATGGAAAACTGCTCAAAACATCTCAATTTCTTCCCAACGAGTCTAAACAGAAAAGCAGCCTAAAGGAACACAGACGGAAAGAAAACAAGTTTGTTACTTACAACAGGCACAACATACATGAAAACAAATGGCAGACAATGGATTACCCTATGAACAACAGTAGTTTCTATCGGTTTGTGTGCCTCCAATTAGCTCCAAATGTGCAGCAACCATTATAAAGAAGTCAAATTCATGAGACTGAATTCTAATGATTCAAAAACCAGCAATACACCTAGGTGGTCCATTGTGGTGCGATCTATTGCACGTTGCATTGAGGCAGTCCATTAATTTCAATAGACTGTCAACCAAAAATCACATAAGCATCATTTGGCAAATGCAGGGCAACATGGCACAATGGATAGATGTGAATGGGCTGTAAGGCCCAACTCAAAACCAATTTTTCTTTTAGTTTTTGATAGTGTGGGGAACAGTTTGAACCATTGGGTTTCCAATGTGGGTGCTTGCATTGATGAAAATTTCCTGCCAGATTTTGAATAGCGTCTTTTGTCCCCATAGAGAATTCTTCCTGCTCTATCTGACCCGGTCACTTGAACAGGAAGTAAAGAAAATCTTGCTTGTCCAATACAATCCTGGCAAAGATTCTAAACCTTCCTTACTACACCAGACAATATGTGTTAATCGCTGTCTGTGGCACCATTGGGGAAGATTTCCTTAATTTCCTGTTTTCTAGGACACTTGTCAAATAGACAGGAAGAACAAAAAAACACCTTCCCAAATAGAGACAGTAACATAAGCTTGACATCAGCTTCTAACCTTTCCTCCATCTAGCCAAAAAAATATTGGCTGCGCTTTAACATTTTGACAAAGTGTCTTAACTCTGACTGGTTATCTTTATGACTTGTTTCAATGGTTGCCTCCATTTTGCACAGATTACAGATGCTCTTAATTACTTTGGCCCATTTTTTTCTACACTTAAGATAAAAGTATTTCTAATGGCTTGTTAATATTCTCACACATACCCCAAATACTTCCATCAGACATTCAATATTTCAAAAATTTTGACAACCCCATCAAAGCAAATCTGTGGCACGTTCAGACTAAAGTCAGTTTTTGAAATGACTAGATATATACTGAGGTCCAGGGAAATATTAAATATCAGTCAAAATAGAATGATTGAGGGATGATAGAACTTTTTTGAAACTTCAAGTGGAAGGTGATAGACCTTTTTGTTGCCTGTCTGACATGGCTTTGGCACTGTGGGTGGCCTTTGTATTGCTTACACATAAATTTGCCTTCCCTCTAATACATATCATGCATTAGAATAAAAAAAGACGAATGAATAAAATCAGCAATTAATTTTTTGTTTTTGAGGATTGATATCTCTTGTGCCATTCCACTGCCTCTTCCAATGCAGTAGCCATTTTGTGTGGTTAACCTACCAATTCAATGACGTGACCCTTTTTTTTTTGGGTGATGCTCTGCAGTGCAGGTGCCTTGCCTACTACTGTAAGGGCTTGTTCACACCAAATGCAGACCAGAACTGTATGAGTTTCTGCACACGCAGTGCCGTGGGTTGTGCCGCGTTTTTGATGCGTTCCGGGCCGTTTTTGGTAAAGAAAACAAATTTGGACGCAGTTTTGATCCGGTCTGTAACTGTTCTGGTCTGCTCCTCGAACGCGCTTGGTGTGAACAAGGCCTAATCGTTCATTGGGGTGCCATTCACAATAAAGGGCACCACAAGGCATTAATGCAATGCATGTTTCCCAAATAGAAACATGTAGATGAACTAAATGCATCTTGGGTTAGGTCAACATATGAGTAATTACGTTTTGCAGATGTCTGTCTGTCTGTTACGTGGACTGCTTTACCAAAAAGTCACATGATTTTTCATAGACAACCGGCATACTGCTTTTTTTTTTTTTTTCCTTTCTTTTTTTTCACTTTTTGGTTTCCTTAGCCTGATTGGCTACCTTGCCATGTGATAACTGAACAAGCCATCTAATTGCAGTAAAAAAAATATCCCCATCTCCCCCTTTGGTAGGCATTTGGAGCTCTGTGGAAGAGGACAAGCAGATCTTTTAAGAATGCTATCCTGGAAAGTATACATTACATTTCTGATCCCCCACCTAAAGAAATATTCCATTCATACTGTAATATTCCATTCATACTAATTAAAGAGTTTAATTGGGAGGAATGGCATCATACTATTAATATGAACATAATGATATCCTAAGCTTAGCTTAATAAAAAAAAAAACCAAACACACTCCTTAAAAATACTATAGACACAGGCACACATGCCAACTCCAATAATGACCTTGGCAAACAATTTAAGCCTATGACACATTCGCCCACAGAAGATGCCATGTGTTGGCCATAAAGAGCCTCATGACTGGAAGAATCTGAAAGACGGTCTGTGTTTCCCTTATCAACCAGCTTCTTCCTCTTTATTGATTATAGATACATGGACGTCGAAGGCTAACCAATGTGCTACTGACAATTCAGGAAAAATGTTAAAGCAGCTTTTCCCCTTTTCTCACATTTTTAGGACAGATGGAAAATTGAGAGAAAAGAAGTTCGCTGGTTGCTAAAGATAACACTGGCAGTACTTTCCGGGCCCTTTCAACCTTGACGCCTAACCGAGACTTGTCAACGTGTTTTTCAAAGCTTAAAAAGACGTAAAATACTGAATAAACAAGACCAGCTTGTGTTTCAGATCTGTTTATACCATGCAAGAAAACGAGAAGAACAAGTGAGCAAGAAGACAGAGGGATGTACTTGGCAATCTAATATAAACACTTTACAAGGAGTAAAAGAACACTGGAATTATCTACTTTTAAATCTTTTTTTGACTGTACATAGAGAAGCAAGTGCTTTTCATCTGTGGTCTGCACAAAATGGAGGCAGAACTGTCAATATCGACATAATACGCTGACCAATGAAATCCACGGGGAATAGTGACAACACTGTCTGACAAGGTGCTGTTTGTACACTGTTTGTTCACAAAACCCTAACTCCTCCCAAAGATATGAGATGACTACTGTCTGATCCTGCAGCAACCCAACGTGTGGACATGTTGAAGACGCTCCCTGACCAACATGGCCAAAGAGGATTGAGAAAAATGGATTATCTAAAGAGGCTGTCGCTCTATGTTCGCTTATGTTTTCCTGGTGTAAGACCAGCACCAAGGACATCCATTTACTGCATAAACAGGCATATTTGGCTAAAACAACTATGATTGTTTATGGAAAGATCTTGCAGTGATTCCAATCGCCATCTCATGCCTATGGCAAGCTCAATTCAGCACAGGGAAACCACCAGCTCCTTAAATAGTATTTCCTATCCACCATTTTCCATCAAGTCTGTACAGTCTCTTAAAAAAGCGTCCCTTTGTGTTTATGCAATAAAGTAGTGCCAACAGCCATGAGAACTCATAGACGCAAACCAGCCTTCAGTTTATTGTAGCAAGATACATTTTGAGATAAGCACAGACTGCAGTGGGATACTACCCGTATTGCATGCCCATTGCGTGGTTTCATTAAGTAACCCATGGTAATGTTTTTTCACATGGCTAAAGTGAAAGCTGACTTTACCATGGGTTACTGCACCTTGCACATAGTCACAGCACTACCTCATTAAACCTGTCCACTGCTCACTGAACAGGTCTACTTTGAAAACCCGTATAAAGGTCCAAGGAAACAATTTTACTAAATGGGGGAATTTATCAAAACTGGAGCAGACATAATCTGGAGCAGCTATCAATGACAACCAATCAGCTTCTCTCTTCAGTTTGTTCAATTAATATTTGAAAATGAAAGCTGATTGGCTGCATGCCCAGCTGCTCCAGGTTTGATAAATTCCCTTCAATGAATACTATTTACCAAGTTGATGGTTTAACAGCTGTGCATTGTAGTATACAATGGACCAGAAAACCGGTGTTAAAATACTGGCCCCACCACCAAAAGGACTGCCCCCATGAAGTACAGCCGACAGTTACACTTTGCTTGGTTTGAAACAGTTCCAGTCCTGAAAGTCCACGACATTCCACTGGTTTGTGCTTTTTAGTATCTTCTAGAACCGGAAAAACAAGAATCTGTCATGTTCTAATCTGGTAAAACCAATTGCTAGCAGCTTGACGGGTTTGAGCCTAGCACAACACAAGTGAGAAAGATTGGAGCTACGAAGAGGAGGCACAGAGGACAAGCACAAAAAAAGGATGCACAAATACTGCACAATTCTTCCCAAAACAAGCTCACTGTCCAATACCAATCAGCAGTACACAAACACCTGGAACTCGTTTCCTTTGTAACGGCACTTATTCTGTTTTTACTGCGGGTTTACAGTAAATAATAGTTCAACAATGGCTTTACGATGTTGCTTGCCTTGCAATCATTAACAGAATTAAGAGCACCTCTCACATTATAATAAAGGAGACACATAATGGGCTCCATATCTCTTCAGTTTTTGCTTCATAGAAACTGGGAAGGATCACTTAAAATGTTAAGAAAATATATTCAGTTCTTTTATTGAGCATTCAGTTCTTTCTTTTTTTTACCCCCTCCTTGTGTTGCCTTGAAACCAACCAAGAAAGTCCTGATATTTAGCGTAACAAGTTGTAGTATGATAATGACCTATTCACTAGCACACTGAGAAACTACATCAGAGAGGTGCTTATGCTTGGCATAGTTCATGTCCAGTTTAGCCTTCACGTCGGCCTTTGGAGACGACGAAGATGAGCTACTGTCACTAGACCCAGATGACACTTTAGACTCAGAGCCAGTGTCCTTAGACTCTGTAAAATATTTCTCATATCGGTCAAAGTATGGTGGCTTCTCTGGTAAAAGGTAATAATGCGTCGAACTAGCCTTCTTCCCATTTTCTATAATGGGTAAAATGCAAGGGATCTTGTTAGCAGATCCTTCACTGTTCTGTCTTTGAAAAGCTTTAGTGCTGACATATGCTGGGTCAGGTGCAAAACTCTGTGTTGGTGGCATGACGCCATTGAGGTATGAAGGAAGACTCTTAGGGCTTGGAGTTCGAGAGTTGCTCCGGGAAAGAGGTTCCCTGGGTGGCACCTTAGGAGGTCGATCCTCATCGCTGTATGTATTTGAGGAAACCTCAGCTGACCACCTTCTGTAATCCGGCTTAATAGGCCTGGGAGGTATTGGGATCCTTGGTGGTACTACAGGCTTGTCTTCATCTGAATTAGGGGAAGTTCTATATGTATGTACTCGAATTGTAGGTTTATTATACGATCCAGCTGGCCCTGAATGAGACCGCCGTAGCCTCCGGTGGTTTTGCTCTGGTTTCTGAGGTTTAGGGTTCTGTATGCGTTCGTTTTGTTGACAAGGTGTGCTCCCTTCTGCTGGTTTGGTGGCAGATGTTGAGTCAAAGTATGCATAGTTGATCTGTCCACATCCTCGGAAACTTCGCCTGCTCGGAACACCATACCTAAAAGCCAAAGGTCTTCCATCTTGTATAAGCAAGTCTGTATCAGAACTTGTGAGAAACTCAACCTCGCTATCTGCCTCATCAAAAGAACTGTCCTCAGAAATTGGAAGTGGCGGAAGAGGCCTCGAGCTCCGATCACTAAAAGGAATGGTATAAGATGGTGGTGGTCCATTTTTAACAGGTGTCAGAGGAGGGGTCCTTTCAGAACCAGAACCACCATTAACTGATAGTTTTTTAAAGGAAGGAACAACTTGGTCATCTTCACAGTTCGTAGAATGTTCTAAAATGGGCATGCCAAGATGTAGAAAGTTCGTTTTTTTAGCCTTCATGCAATTTTCAGAGCAACAGTGTCCATTTGCCATAAATGGCTTTGAAATCTGACCTGAAATATATAAAATAAAAGAATGGATTGGTTTATGCTTTAAAATGTTATTGCCACTTATAAATCAAGATGGCTTACTATATCTAGATTGCATCTAAACTAAAACACAACCCCCAACTCAAGTATTTCTAAACTTTGGATATGGTAGCGGAAGGAGTAGACACGTAGATTCAAGCTTCCTATTGCTGCCTGTGTCCCTTTTGGTAAGATTTAACTACAATTTTCTAAAAGAAATCCTGTCCCACCCTTGTACACAAGATTTGCCAAGAAAAAGAAAGGACATTTTCCAAGTGGTCAAGGTTCTAACCTTTCCTCCCTCCAAGATTTGCCCTAATTTTCCAATCTGTCCCAAATCTCCCCATATTATCCTGACAAATAAATACTCTGCAAAAATGCTTTCATTTAAACTACAGAGTAACCATAACGATCAATCAATTGGGATATAACTGACTTGTCAATAAACCAAATGTAGGTCATCACTGTACATGCTCTAAAACCATGACCGGTATCGGAGTGGTTGCTGCAGGCTACACAGGCACTTTTCTTTCTGTTGGCTTTAATACGTTAGGCCTACAATGTTTTCAGTGTTGAACAGCTCTTAGAACAGATGCAGTTTTAAATATGCAGCAACACCACGGCTTTGAAGTAAAATGGATAAATACTAACACTGCTTACCAAAAGATGAAATTTGCTGTTGAGCTGGGGCTTTCATACAGTAGGTTAAGGGCAAAGACTCCATACCATAGAACGTGCTACAAGAAAAACAGAGACAGATAATCAATTTCTTTTTTTAATGACTAATTTCATAAAGGACTATCAAAAAAAAAAAAAAGTCCCATGTGACTAACCCAACCTGTGGGGTTATGTTCAGGTTGTCTAATTTTCAAGTTGCTTTTTAAGTTTGCATTCTCAAAGCTTCCATCAACAGAATGTAATTACAGTACATAACATCCCAGAATGTAATTACAGTACATAATGTCCCAGTGTTCCATAGCAACGTTACGTTCACATGTACATATACAAAACTAGATACAATAGTCTTGGTGTGTGCAGGATTTTACAAAGATTACAAGCATATATTAATGGTCTCAACAGCAGTAGCATCTACTGGTGAAATATGGTATTGCAGCACAACCACAGGATTTCATATAGCATGCTTCTCTACCCTCTCCTACAAGACCATTAGAACAGTGTAAGCCTCTTTGCAGCTGAACACTACAAATTATTTGTCTATTCTAAATTGCAGGAATTGTTTTAGGATACATCATCATTTCACTTTGTGATATCTCTCCATTGGAGTCCCCATGTGATTTAAAGGTACCTGCATATAATTCAACAATATATATGAGGACGCAAATCTGTTTTGATAGAGTTCCCCGCACCAGACCTTGTGAGGAAAGACCAGCACAAGAAGATAATCAGGTGCATGTACAGGTGCTGGTAATAAACCTGCTGCTGGGGAAGTGAGAATAGGGACAACTTCACCAGTCTCGCTAATGCCCTTCAAATGTCAGATTACAGGTGGAGGCTGGGGATTTGACAATCTGTGTTGCTTAACGGAAGAAGAGGAAAGTGGGGTCACAAACCTGGCTGTACCAAGTGCTGCCAGAGGTGTATACATCTCAGAACTGGCTAGCCAACATTACAAATCCTTTAGTGTGTTTTGCAGTTGGCCAAGAGTTCAGATTTAAGTTTTAATCTTTTGCGAACAAAGTTTTATTTGGTCTTCATTTTTTTTACTCCTTTTTGTATATTATATAGACAGGAGGGTGTCGGGACACTTACTTATCATAGTCACTATGATTTGCCCAGCATGACTTTGCACACATCAGGCCTTGTGCACCATGAAGAAAGCCACTCTTCAGTGACACGTCTTGAGCTGCGAGCCCAGCTGTGGTCATTGTGTGTTGTTTGTTCACGGCAGCTTTTCAGAGAGCGTCTGGTCTGTCAGCTGTCATTTCTTTATCTGGAGAAAGAAAAATCACAGCACTGATCAGTTATAGAGTAACCTTCTCAGAAAAAAAACACAACAAAAAGTTAAAAAATTTCCAGGACTGCTGTGCCAGCCATAGGAGTGAAGGCAAGAGATGCTTTGAAACAAAGGTCTGGAAAATGGTAAACATAATTTGGAAGTTATTGAAGGGGGCTAAATAGAACCTGACAAAGTTCCTATGGTAACAATACCGAAGAACATGCACCTTGAGATCCCTACAAGAAGTTTTATTAGCTTTCAGAACTGATCCCTGTGTCTCTGTGGTGGCCCTTAGATCCCTTGTCCAGACTGGGCACGGGGCCTCCACTACTCAAAGTCAAGCTGAAATGATAAGTGCACTTTAATTAACCCCCCATCTCACCCTTAGATGCATACTTGCCTTGATTCAGTGACTATAACGTATGTGGTTTATTTATATCCCAACCCTCAATATGTGCACTGGCCTTGCTTCCGCAGTAGCCATCAATAGACTGTTACAGGGCCGCCCTCCAATCCTCTCTGGCCTTGAGAGACACTCTTATAAAAAGTCCATCGGAAGCTATATGGCAGGTTAACTACTCAACCACTTCTGCTCTCAGATCTCTACAACATAAAGGCTAATCACTGTGTAGTCCCCGATAACAACTAGGAAGGCAGTTTAAGATAACACAGGAAGTGTACAAAGGACACGGGACAGCTCTGAATTTTTTATCAACTGCACCAAATATAACAAAATGCTTTCAATGGAATATTTAACAGACCAACCAGGAGCAAATTAGAGCGGTTCATTGTAACGGTTTTAAATACACTTTAGACCTGCTTAAGCTTTGATATGACAGCAGAAACACCAGAGGGGCTTAATGCCAGTAGAGTACATGACTCAATTTCAGCAATCACATAATTAACCTGCAGCGCCACCTGCTGGTGGAATCCAGTACAGATGACGGAGATAGTGAGAGCAAGGTGAGACAGCCAGAGGAGAGAGCGAGGAGAGGCAGCCAGGTGTGAAAGAGGAGAGAGAGAGAGAGAGCCAGGAGAGAGAGAAGCCAGGAAGGCAGATTTGAGTTGCATAATAAAAACTAATATGTAGCCGATACAACATATACCTAGCCCTACACAGTTAACATGTTTATGGTGCTTTTTATGATCCAGTAGTTCTCCAGTTTCAATAGGAAGAAGGAAAAAAAAAAAAAAGAAAGAACTCTACTGTAAAAATTAAGGAACACCCAAAGATATAACATGTGCAGTAATCAAAAGTACAGGGTGCACATCTGCCCCTCCCTACTCTACGACTGACTTCACCAAGACTGACCAGAGTCCATATAATGACAGTATGAATCACACCTCTATAAAGATTGCACAAAGAGACTTTTCATTCTGGGCTTTTACTATTGAAGAATGTCTAACTGAATGGTGAAAAGGTTTATGTTTAACATTTAAAAAAAAGTTACACTAGTTTTTTCTGATGCATAAAAGGGACCAGTTGACTCAGTAAGGCCAAGGGTAATGTACAAAGAACGGAATCCAACACAAATGTATTGGAGTTTAAAAACCTGCAATATAAAGCTCTATCACAAGTCACCAAAAACAATTCTCATCACTAATCTTGGGAAAGTATTGCTACAGCTGGCGATTATTTTAGCAATGTGATCGCTAAAGCTGCCCATAAACCTATAGATGGTTTCAGCCTATGGTCAGATGGAAAAAGTGCAATGGATTCCTCCATTTTGCTAAACTGTGTGGATGGAGGAATCTCCCGCTGGGCCAAGCTTCAGTATCTTGCTAGTTGGCCCCGCTGGCTCCCAAAATACCTGAACAATCTGATTGGATGCAGTCATTATCCAGGTATTTTGACAGCCAGCGGGGCCGACTAGCAAGATACTGAAGCTTGGTCCGCCGGGAGATTCCTTAACCCAGACAGTTTAGCGTAGATGGAGGAATCCATTGCACTTTTTCCATCTGACCATAGGCTGATAGAAAAAAATAAATCTATAGAAAATAGCTTTAGATAGGTAGATTATTGGTAGTCATCTTTTAACTAGACACACTATAATTCTCTAATGATAAGCACCTAACAAACAAGATCATTTGGAATCTACACAGCGGAGTTAATAAAAATATAACAAAAAACAAAATTAGGGGAAGTTTTGAACATTTTTCTATACAAGCCAACTGTGCCAGTATTGCTACAAATCACTTGCGATTTTTTGAAAGGACGGTAATTATTTTTTAACCGATTTGATTTTAACAAAATACAAATAATAGTAATATGAATAACTAACTGAGAGAGACAAAGCAGAACCAAGTGATGCTTTGTGCAGTCACATCAATGTCGGTGAACAATATTAAATCCAATTGGTTGATACGTGTAGCTCTCCGCTGTTCCTGAATAAGCCCATAAAAGTGACTTATATCCCAAATGCAGACAGAGACACTCACAGGGAATAGACTTTGATGATAAAGGCGACGGCTTACACTCCCAGCAATGCAGTGACGCATTTTACACACACACAAACGAGTCACGGTTTTTATTTTTAAAGACTGTAATCCTTCACTCTGCATCCATATAGCCAAGATATGACCAAGTAGTAGGTCAGGTTTTTGTTGTTCAAGTGGTATACAAAATGAAAGATAATGCAGTAAAGGAGCTGCCCTGCAGTTGAGAAGCAGCTTAGCCCCTTGATCTTGACAAATGGCTGGGCTTTATTTGGTACCTGTGCAAAGTCCAGTAACTTTTAGCAACCAAATTGGAAATCATCTTCAAAGCAAGCTTAGTTCAGTAATCTGAAGTCTGATTAGTATTTGTATTTCATAGCACCCAATTATACCAATTGTTGCAGTATGTCACTCCTGCCCTGGATCACACTGGATTTATGACAAAGTTTACCCAAGATCAAAACAAAAGTGGGCACTCCACAATAACACACAGGAGTCAAAACCAAAGCAAAGCTTGCCGGATAAAATCCAAAGCAATTTTCTTTTTTCTTTGCAGAAAGGCTTGCAGTTTTTCTGAAACTACTTTGGTGTAATGTAGTGGTAGGCAAACGTTGGCCCTCCAGTTGGTGAAATTACAAATCCCATTAGGCATTCCATGACTGGCAGCCACAAGCATGACTTCCAGAGGCAGATACAAGAAGGCATTTTTAGTTTCACCTCTGCTGGAGGGCCGAACTTTAGCTACCCCCCCAGTGTAAAGTTATGTGGTCAAGTAATAGTAGCGAGTTCTTAGTACCGTCACAAGGGTGCCCAATGGGAGATTTTGCCCTTTCCTCCTGTCCCTGTGGCAGTTGTAAAAATTTGGATTTCCCATTACTTTGTGTCCCAGATACAGGTCATGAGGGTAGAGGTTCTAACTAATACACTTTAAACTCCAATGTCTGTACCAAGAACAGGCTTAGCGCTTCCGGAAGAAAAGGACTTTGCAGATAAAAGTATGTCTGCAAGTGGTTTCTTAATGCACACAAACTGACAGGTCATAAGCACTTTTCCTGGATGCGTAGTGTATGTCCATTAGTGAGCATTAAGGACCTTCAGGCATGCAGCTCCTGACTAAAACAGAGTGGAAAATAGCCGTGTATAAAAAGCCTTAATGTTCATGAAGTTGAACAGCGAAAACGTCTTTAAACAAGGTTACAGTACTCCCTCCAGGAATAATGTAGACAGTCATGAGAGGTGGTAAAAGAAATTAGACAAAGGCGTCATTTAGAAAGTTTGGCGCAGTGGAAAAAGGTGCCGTAATCCTGATCAAGTTCTTCATTGACATAAGGCTGGGCTAAGAGCTGCGGTGATGTACCACAGGCAACGGCCCACACTAATTATTTTTCATTTTCTGACTGCTGTATCCGGTTGACAGCTGAAATAGGCTATGGACAGGGATGTATATGACTCATGGCACTTGTTTACCGAATAAGCCTAGAGGTAGACATTTTGAACTAACCCAACATATGTATGATTTCAACCTTGGCCACATACTGTACATTACAATCTGAATGTGCAATCTCTTTTGGTTTACCAACAACAAGTATAAGGGCCTCCCTTGACTAGATCAGGAGCATACTAGCGAATGGAAAAAAGCCACTCAACTTTGTAGAGAAAACATATGGAATAGGCATATTATCTAATAAGGTAGCTATGCACAACTCATTGCACCCAGTGCAGTAATCAAAAAGGCAGGAAAGGGATGCTAGAGCTACCGGACTCTACATGGCTCAAGCAACATGCAACAACCAACTCTTTCTCTGCATGGATGCTGGAGGCCAGTGCAGTCCAGTGAAACACTGCACACTGGTAACATCAACAATGTTGATGTTAACTTTCAACAATAACATGGTTAGCAACAAGAAAAGTATAGACTTCCAAGAGGTGCTATTATTCATGATATACCCAGATATAGTAGGGCAGTGCAGTCCAGTGAAACACTGCATATGAATATTGATGTTAAGTCTCAGCAATAACATGGTTGGCCATAAGAATGGTAAAGATGTCCAAAGAGGTGCCATTTTTTGTAATATTTCCAGGCAGTGTACTCTCTTCTGGATATGGATTACGTTGTAAGGAATTCCATTGCTGCACCAGCCTGTAAGAAGCAGCCTGAAAACTGTCAAGGATATGTTTTAGTTAGCTGGACCCAAGGGACATTAATTTTTGGAAATACATACTGTGACCATACTGTGGGCCATAAAAAAGCAAATGGGTAATCAACAGAATAAACTATGACCCAGCAAGTTGTGTGGCTTTTGAAAGACCTGCTTTACTGCAATGCCAACAAAAATATTAAAATCATTATTTGCCCAATGTTCTCTCTCTTCAGCAAGATCACATTTTGAGAAGTAACACCCAATGTGATGGTGATAGTCCCCACCAAGAAAAGCAAGTTGTGGCTTTGTCCAAGGCTTTTACCCTGAAATTGCGTGTGTGAAGTGTTCTTTGGAGAGTCAACCAACAGGCAAAGAGGAGCAAACATGTTATAAAATAAATAAATACATAAAATCAAA